TCAGTACAGTAATATGCTATACAGGTTTGTGGTCTGTTAGCAATAATCTATCCCATAGAGCCTAGGTGTACAGCAGGCTAGATGTGTAGCAAACCACCTAGGTTGTGTAAGTATATTCTATGATATTCACAAATGATGAGATTGCCTAATGATACATTTTTGGAACATATCCTATTGTTAAGTGACACATGACCATCTATTAGTCAGGTTTCTCCAGAGAAAAAGAACCAATAGGATATATCTGTTCACATATATATACATGGAGAGAGCGAAAGAGAAAGAGATTCATGACAAGGAATTGGCTCATGTGATTATGGAGACTGGGAAGTCCTAAGATCTGCAGTCAGCAATTTAGAAACCCAGGGATGCTGATGGTGTAGTTTCAGCCTAAGTCTGAAGGTCTGGGAACCAGGAGAGCCAATGGTATAAATTCTAGTCTGAAAACCAGTAGCCTCAAGACTCAAGAAGAGCTGATACTTGCGTTCCAGCATGAAGGCCAAAAGATTGATGTCCCAGCTCAAAGCAGTCAGACAGGAGTAGTTCCCTCTTTCTCAGTCTTTTTGTTCTATTCAGGTCTTTAATTGATTGGATGAGGTTCACTGACATACGGGAGGCCAATCTGCTTAACTCAATCTACCAGTAAAAATGTTCATCTCATCCAGAAACACAGGCACACCCTGAGTAACAGCTGGACAAATGTCTGGGACCCAGCAGCTTAATCAAGTTGATACATAAAATTGACCATCAGAGTATACATGGTCCCCAATTTATGACAGTTCAACTTAACTATATTTTGATTTTACAGTGGTACAAATTCAATACACATTCAGTATGTTCTTTGACTTTAAATAGGGTTATGTCTGGATCAACTTACAGTGGATTTATCCAGACATATCCCCATTATAAGCTGAGGAGCATCTGTATTTAAATAGCTTAGCATGTAGTAAGCACCTGCCCACTATGCTCTGATGAAAATCAAGTATGGAGCACACAATATTTTGAGATTAAGCTGAGTGACTGATAAAGAATATTTATTTTCTTTATTTTAGAGCTTGCACCTCTTGGATAAAAAAACTTGACTGAATTGAGTTACATGGCCTTAGCCTCTAAATTATGCAGTGGAAGTTGTAGACACTCCTAATGGTGGATTTTGAAGTACCATGACACATAGTACAAACATTATTTCTTTTCCCACTTTATAAAGCTTAACTCTACTTCTTCTTCTTTTGTGTTCCACACTGTTAAGTCTCCATAACTCGAGAAAAGCCCATATGGGAGTCACAGGCCCCATATTCTGGATTATTCTGTAGCTTTGAATAAGTACGAACTCCTGAATAAGCCACCTGTCTTCTCTAGAGTCTCTAGTTCCTCATCTGATAAAAAGTGTGGGCTGTGATGACTTAGGCCTGTTCACATCTATATTCCCATGGTTCTGTGTAAATATATAGATTTCCTTAAACACATTCATAACAAGAGAATAAATGCCCTGCTGAAGGCTGGTGTCCCATTAACAAGCAGACTCTGGGGACTTTAGTAGTCAGGTGGGCAGATGAGGGAAGGCACAGATTAATTACAAGTCTAAAAGTGGTTAATTTCTCTGTTGAAGGCAATACACTCTGGCGTGAAGAAGAGAAGAAGAAACGAAAGACAAATGGTCATGTGCTGAAAGTGGAATTCACTGGGCAAAAATCATGCACCTTTCTAAGAATTTTGAATATTTATTTTCCTAAATTGTTCTCCAGAAAGTTTGTATAACATTTATTTTGGGAGAAAGATTTTTGAGAAGATGCCTAGACTGGTGGCTCACACCGGTAATCCCACCACTTTGGGAGGCTGAGATGGGGAGATTGCTTGAGCCCAGCCTGGAGAACATGATGAGACCCTGTCTCTACAAAAAATACAAAAATTAGCTGGGCATGGTGTCATGCACCTGTAGTCCCAGCTACTCCAGAGGCCAAGGTGGGAGGATTTCCTGAGCCTCGGAGATAGAGGCTGCAGTGAGCTATGATGATGCCACACCAGTCTAGGTGACAGAGACCATGTCTGAAACAAATAACAACAACAACAACACACACACACACACACACACACACACACACAAACAAAAGAAAGAAAAGAAAAGATCCTTTTCTTAGGGCAGGAATGGGGGTGAATCACTGACAACTTAGCCCAAGTTCCTGTCTCAGTTTTTCTCCATACAGGGGTATATTGAGTCCTTCTGCCTCTGATTGTTGGTGGAAGAGCTGATGAATCCTTTCAAGGAATAGCCCAAAGCTCCTTAGAGGCAGGGTTTGGAGGGAATGGCTCAAGGAGACTGCGGAGATAACTATGGCACACCCTGCCTGTAAGACCCAGATGAAAGGGGCATTGAAGAGATTCTCCTGCTGGGAGAACTCCATCAGCAAGGCTATGGAACATTTCCATCACCCTTCCAATTTGCTCTCATTACCTAGTTAATCCTCACTTAGTGCTTTCCTGTGAAGAGAGTCAATGTCATCACCCAGTATGCACAAGAAGAAAACAGAGAGAGAGAAGTTAAATATAACAGCTCATCTCTTAGTGAAATGCAAATGGAAAAAGGCAAAGTATGAAGTTAACTGTACCCGCTCTGTTCACTTTCCAGTGGAATCCTGGTGTTCTAAAAAACAGCCTCATAGGTTCTAGAAATCAGCCTTCACTGGATGCGTACTTTGCAAATATTTTCTTCCATTCTGTAAGTTGACTGTTAATTCTGTTGGTTATATCTTTTGCTGTGCCAAAGCTTCTTAGTTTAATAAAGTTCCATTTGTCTATTTTTGTTTTTGTTGCATTTGCTTGCTTTTGGGGTCTTCGTCATGAATTCCTTGCCTAGGCAATGCCCAGGAGAGTTTATTTTCTAGTTTTCTACCAGGATGGATTTTTATAGTGTCAGGTATTATATTTAAACTTTTAATTCATCCTGAGTTGCATATGGTGAGATAGGGGATCCAGTTTCATTGTTCTGCATATGGCTAGCCAATTTTCCTAGAACCATCTATTTAATAGGGTGTCCTTTGCTCAGTGTCCTTCATTGGATGATTGAATAGAGAAAATGTGGTGTATATTCACCATGGACTCCTACTCAGCCATACAAAAGAATCATTTCATGTCTTTTTCAGCAACATGGATGGACTTGAAGGCCATTATCTTCAGTAAAATAACTCAGAAACAGAAAGTCAAATACTGCATGTTCTCACTTAGAAGTAGGAACTAAATAATGAGTACACATGGACATAGAGTGTGGAAAAATAGACACTGGAGACTCAGAAAGTTGGGAAGGTGGGAGGGGATGAGGATTGAGAAGTTACCTAACAGGCACAAGGTACACTATTTGGGTGGTAGTTACGCTGAAAGACCAGAGTTGACCACTACACAATATACCCATGTATCAAAATTTCTGCTAAATAAACAGAAATTTAAAAATAGAAAAACTTAAAAAAAAAAAAAACCCAGCCTTGTTGATAAAATTTGTACATTCCCCATATGCATTCAGGCATGAACAGCCTGTTCTTTGTGGAAACTCGACTGAATCTTCCTCCCTTCTTAGAGAATCTTCCCCCAACCTCATGCACACATCTTTTTGCAGTTTTTGGAGATTTCACCCCCTGCACTAGCCACCTGACCAAGAAAGCTAATTAAAGGTAATGAGCCCTGCAGGGATCTAAGTGCTTTCTCCCATCCGTTCCCCAAATAACTAGAGAGCTTCAGGGCACTAACTAACAGCTCCCATATGCTGTGGAATGGCTTCTCACTCTGACCTAGTCAGCCTGGCTCCCAGTATAACAGTTCAAACTGTTCTCGAACCTTTGTACTGGACTGCACACCTCGGCCAGCTGGCTCATGCTCCCTGACTAAGGGGCCTGAGGGAATGAGGCAAAGAGGGCAAACAGCTTGGTGCAAGGCTGTGATCAGGAAAACAGTTTAATGACACATGCTCATCACTCAGAATGATTCATTTTCCTATAAATAACAGAACACATGATCACCTTCTCATCACAGAATCCCCTTCTCTACTGCCCACCCCAAGTATGTTCAGTGACCTAGCAGTAACTTATTGTCTCGGAAATGACCCAAGCCTCTGATGAGTTATAGAGGAACATCTATGGGCTTCAGAGCCCGGGGAGCGCTCACTGACAATAAATGAGTTCCAGAAACATTTTGTTCTCAGGCATAAAAAACAAATGCAGCGGGATGACTCTGTGGACTGAAAATAAGGTTTTGAACTTGGTGACTTCTCAGATTCATTCTATCCTGATACATTTTGCACCAGAGATTAATCAGTTACACCTCTCCTAGCAGTGAGCTGAGACCCTATAGTCAAATTCTTCTTTTTTGGAGCCACAGGCATATTTTGATTTAAAAAAAATCATAGAGCTTCAAATTCCCTTATGAACAGAGCTCAGAGGAACACACTTTATAGTTGTTGTCAAGGCTGGAGGTAGGAATGCTCACCACTTCTCCGTTTGCTGATACTTTCAATGAGGCCGTGTAGTGGTTGGACATATGTACTGCAAGGAATACAAAGAGCGAGACATAAGGAAGAAAGACATGCCCACTTTTAGTCTGAGGACAGAGGCACAAAATCATGGAGCAATGTGTTACTTCTTTCTCTCCACCCTCTTTCCTGCAGCCTTCAATCCATTCATGATAGACATCCCTCTTATTCTAAGGGTAAAATTTTGGAATTAAGTATTAAATAGGTTCTTCATTCTAAAGGACCAGTGGACTCTGTGCTTCTCTTATCAAAATGAATTCAATAGACAAGATTAAGACCAGCCCAGCTTTAAAAAATACATACAGAGGTCAGGTGCGGTGGCTCACACCTGTAATCCCAGCACTTTGGGAGGCCGAGGCAGGCGGATCACGAGGTCAAGAGGTCGAGACCATCCTGGCTAACATGGTGAAACCCTGTCCCTACTAAAAATACAAAAATTGGCTGGGTGTGGTGGCATGCGCCTGTAGTCCCAGTTACTGAGGAGGCTGAGGCAGAAGAATTGCTTGAACCTGGGAGGCAGAGGTTGCAGTGAGCCAAGATCATGCCACTGCACTCCAGCATGGCGCCTGGTGACGAAACAAGACACTCTCTCAAAAA